TTAAAACTGTAGGGAGTGTTTACAAATTAACAGATGATATAATAAGAATCTCGACAGCGCGGGCTATCGATTGTTAAAAAATGTTTTTGATTTGAACCTTTCCTTCGCGAAAAATTAGCCGAGACATTTTCGCAGGTAAGTTTTCCTATAGGTGGGTTCAGCAAAATCGACCATTCAGTCTTGAAATATTAACTTTAGGGAATGTTCAGCCATATGTGGTACGCATATGGTGTTAGCATAAATTAGCATAAGCGTTCCCGGACTTAGGTATGGGTTTTCCAAAATCCTAGCCTTTTCAGGTATTTTTCCATTTATCTCGATCTGGAAATGTTTTTATTTAATAAAAATGATATATTCAGAGTCACCGCAAGAAATCACATCGAATGATGTGCGATTAAAAGTTTTTTTTGCGCAAAAGCTTGTTAAATCAGACGTATGCGGGCTTTTTACAGATCCGATCTCCGGAGAACCTAGATGAAAGTCTCTTTGAACTTTGTGAAGCACACCATTGGAAAGAGCATATCTAGAAATCTATAAGAAAGTATTTGTAGACCGTCGGACTGCTTCTATAGCAAAGGTCCGCCTGGCCTATGGAAAAACGCACACTGTGGGGTACCCCTTCAAACATACCCTCAAATTTTGTCAGTTTGCAGAGAACACCTCGAAGGATCTAGGGTGGTAATAACTTGCGGATTAGATAAGCTTTAGTGGAGTTAAGAAACTTTGAAAATAGCCAAAAGTCGATTTTCCCAGCTATTTTGCACCTAGTACAAAAAGTATTTCTTGCGCAAAGCGCAAACATTCCAAAAGTATTTATTCTGTTCATGGAAAAGTTTTATTATACTCTCCTCTATGGGATAAGATATTGTGGTTTTAGATTGGTGAGTTTGGTGAAAACCAAACAAAAAACAAAAAAACAAAAGAATACTTCCAAACTTCTCACACAAGTCGATTGTTTGAAAATGTGCGTAACATAGAGCGACATCTAGTCTACGTGCCTGGTAAAACCTGACAGCTCCATCCACGACCGTTCGAGCAGAAGCGAACTTTTCCTGAGACTCCTCAGGACCCAGTTTTCTTGACGTTTAGAAATTTGAAAACGCATAGAACGGTAGGTTATCGACCACGCTGAATCTTCTGAGAATGTTTATTTTTCGAAAGAGCTTAAAAAACTAGTGAAAACCTATAAGAAAGTTGGGTTGCGGGGTGTCTCAGGAAAAGTTCGCTTCTGTCCGAACGGTCGTAGATGGAGCTGCCAGGTTTTACCCGGTATGTACACTAGATGTCGCTTTATGTTACGCCCATTTTACGCTTGTAGCTATCTATTGATAAAAAAATATTCGTCCACAGATCAGGTCTTTTAGCCAAAAATATATTTTTGCCCAAATGAGGCTATTTGTTTCGAGAGCTATGTTAACTGTAATGAGTTTCCGAAGTTTTCTGAAGCTACAAATTCGTTGGAAATTCCACAGAATGTGCATCGACATAGCCTGAATCTGTGGTGATAGCAGTTCTGTGCAGTTTTTCGGCTAGACCGAGATCTAGGTTTTCTTGAAAACCGCCTATTTTCCAGATATTTTACATTTTTCTCAGCCGCGCAACACTTTTGTTGAAAATTAATGTGATCTTTGGAATCAGCATGAAAAACTACATCGAATGATGTATAATTTGTTAATTTTACAAATAAAGAATGTTTTGACAAAAATGCATGGAATGGGAAGACATTTTTTATCGAAAAAGATTTTTTTGGATTTTCAGGTTTTTTACTTTTATTAATATCTGACGCATAATAAGACTATATTATGCGAAAATAATCATTTTTTCACTCAAGAAACCAGATGTTCGACTGTTCTATGGAAAAGTGTCCACTGTGATTCCCTAATACTAATAACGATACCACTACTGAAATATGTAGTTGTATAATACCAACCTGAAATTTATTTAAGGCTGACTGATTGAATCCAAAAATTTGAAAAAACAATGCGCCGGAGTACTATTTTGAGAAGAACTGCAGTACTTAGTTCCGCCAATGTAAGCCGACGTTTTTAAAGTAAAGTAATTACTGACATGTTCGAACATCTTCGTTTAGTGTGCGCCATTATCAAAACCAAAGTAATTTGATCTGAAATACTTACTGAAACTAACTATTGTCGTCATTGATCCATTGATTCATTCACAGATATCAGTACCTAATTTTTGCGTGCATTTTTGTCATTTTTGGTGGTGGAACGATTGGTATGATTATCGTTATATCAAGAGGAAAATGTGAGTTTATATTTCTTTTTATTATTTTTGTTCTGATGGTCATTTTTCTTCATGTACAAGCAATGAAAACAAACTCTAGTGTGATAACAACAACGACGACGACGAGTAAGCTTGATCATTTTCGATTTTGAGCATAATTACAGATGAAAATGTGTTTAGCAATGAAGACTTTGCCTGCCATCGCAACGACTACTGAATTAACAGATATTTCCGGTAAGACTTGACAAGTAACGTTGGTCTTTAGTTCGCTATCTTTGACTGGAAGTGCATGTTGTAGATAATTCATCATCACTGAAGTATGATACACTGTGGAGAGGTCTACGACAAGCAATCAGTCGAAAAGAAATACAGGAAAACAGTATTCTTCTTCTTGTTTCGCAGACGTATTTTGCTCGCTGACTTTTGAGCAATCTAAATCTGATGCAGTTAGACATTTACAGCTGAACGAAACGGCGACTCACCATCAATCACGCTCTTTTGGTTTAGTCTTGTTTATTTAGATAAAGAGAAAAATTTACCTAGAGGCTCAGAGTTACAAAAGTGGTAAATAAAACGGATTTGAGATCGAGAACAGATAGCAAAAGGAATAATACGAAAAGAACGAGAAAGAATTTGTGTGCTTGTGTTAAATGCTGCAAGTGTGTGGAATATAAGTAAGAATCAGCCAAACACAGCAAAACCGTCCGTCTGAATCAGATAATCAGTTACTGTATTGGCAATCTTATGGAGAGTTTTTTCGATGAATTCAGCTTAAAGCAATACAGTTTGTAGATTAACAGAGATATTAAGTAATTCATTCTGAGGAACTTTTTGTTTGGATACTTATGTAGAGGACACTCTAAACAATAATGAAAAATAGTCTTCACATTCATAAGAAAACCTAGAGAACAAAATATTTTTATCCAATAAACTTTAATGTAATAGTGAAACTAGAGATGAACATAAGTTATCCTGAGAGATATCGCTTGTGACATACGTCTATATGTTTATGTACAAGATGCACAATGTACTATACGATATTAAACAATTTCAAGAAACGACGCGGAAGGCCAAGAAAAGTAGGAAATGCGTTGTCTGGTGCTTAGCTGTTCTACTTACATATTCTCTGTTCTTTCTATTTCTGCCACTCTCTCAGTAAATAAATGGTGATGATAAGCTGAGAACTTTCTCATTACTATTCCTAATCTAGTTAAATCCGGACACATCTATCTCCGAACACAAAAGTATAAAAGGATTTTTTTGTACACGAACCGGGCACAAATCTGTCTTAATTGCGGGCACAAAAAAACTTAAAGTCTTATATATATATATATATATGCGTCGATAGGTTCAAACAAACTGAACAAAATACACTTTGTCTCTGAAGTTAGAAAATTAAAGTTTTTAAGGTTTTTAAAATTGAAAAACTCAGTATTTCTGTTTAGAATAACTAGAGGGCTAAACTAATAGTATCTGAAGATTTTGTTAGATCATCTGGTAGAGCAGATGATTCTCTACAAAATGAGTAATTGACATTGAAGTAGAAGTTGGGCAGTATGTTCAAAGCTGAGCTACGATAACGTCAATATACGAAAAAATTAAATTTTTGGTAGCATATCTTCGTTGTCAATCAATGCCAACACAAATCATTCGTGGTCAAAAGTGTCGAGTAGGCGAAATGGCTTTAGAGAATTTTTCACCCTTTCTTTTTCTCTCTCCTACTAAAATGCACTTATTATGGCAATTCTACACAGGACGGTTACATAGTTACTGTTTTGTGGAATACTTTCTTTCGCGAATAACAGGGTTACGGAGACGTTACTACCAAGTCATTTCATTGAGAAACTTTCATAACGATTGTGTTTTTAGTAGTTTTTCTGATGGTAATGTTAAAGTCTAAAAGATGCACTTTTCCAGGAAGGAGATTTGAGTTCATTATCGTGGATTTCACAATTAATAAATTTTTTCACATCGTTTTTTTTTTGACGGATCCAGATTCTCTACTATTTCACGTCGATTACTAGTGTGGTGTCTTCATGAGCGAGAAAAAGTGTTCATAAACAAGTACTTTTAGCAAGTTCAGAAGATTGTTTTAAGGTTTATGCAACAAAAAAGATTGAAAAAGTGGGTAAAATCTATGCCTTACCGTCCTTTTAAAAACTTTAATTTTTTTACTTCTGAAACGCAGCACATTCTGCTCGATTTGTTTTGCTCTGTCTACTAATATATAGTGTGTCAAAAAATAACCGTACGATGAACAAAGAAATTTTTCTTTCTATATTTCGTTATGAATGTAAGGTATCGAAAAAGATTTTGATATGATAATCAGGCAGGTCTATGTATGGTATTAATATCTAGTATTTTAGTTTTTTCAAGGTAAATAATTTGGCGATTCAACGAGAAAATTTGAAAAATAAATAATTTTAAATTGAAAATCTACAGTAATCAATGTAAACAAATGAGTAAAACACGGAAAGCAAAAAAATGAATCATACACTCAATTTTCGAATGCAATCTATCTATCTGCATTTATTATCATAAAATTCTCGTTACGGAGCTGGGCGAAACTCGCCGCTGGTTGTTGAAAATTCACAGAATTTGAAACTTTTGTATGCCTGTGAAATTTATGCATTGCTGATTTTGAGAGCTCATAAATGGAGATGTGCAGAGCACCCTTACTCTACCCTGCAGGGTACAGTAGGATCAGGGCTTTAAGGTCGCTTGCAACCACAGGGTAGGGTAGGACCAGGGCTCCGATGTCACAGGGTAGGGTAGGGGGAGGATACAAAAATTTTTCACCGGATAGGGCCAGGGCTCCAGAAACATCTACCCTGTACATCTTTACACACGAATTTACGTTTAGATGCTGAATACGGATCAACTGAACCGCTCGTTCCTGTGAGTAATTTTGCCGATGGTTATACTGTGTTTAACCGTGTCGATGAGGTGGCAGTAGCTGGCTACCTGACGACCGTGACGATTTATTTCTACAATCTACCAGTACCACACCTGGCAGAACTTATATTTTATGTCATCGATCGAACATTGGACATTGCTCTATTCATGGTTCTTCATCAGTACGTGGTACCTCCAGAAACAATCACAAACATCACAAAACAGGTATTTTTGATACCCAACTCAGCAGGAATGTGGGTTAATGAAGGTCAGTATGTTGGAGTTGGTTTTGGTCCTTACGCTGGAAGTTCCTCTTTTGTCTATCGATATATGTACATGATTCATCGTTCGAACTTGTCTTTTTATATAACTAACACTTATCCGGCAAGATTTGCAACAGATGTTACACGAGGCGCTACATTCAAATTTACAATTAGGTCATCACTACCGGCTGTAACAACTGTTTCACCACCTATCACAAGTGAGTAAATCATCTCACATATTCTGTTGGTTGAGTTGTTGATTCAGAAAAATGTTTTTTAGCCACTTATGGAACATTGGACAACAGTTCCGATTCGGGGGTCTCTATTAGGCTCACATGGTTCATCTATGGTGATCAAGTTAAACGTGATGGCTACGTTCAGAATGTAAGCATCAACTTTTATACAGCGCCCAATAACGTTACGGGTCTCATCAAGCTTTATGTGCTCACTGGCACTCCCAACTATTCATTCTATTTTAATATTGTTGACGCATATGTAATTCCGTCGACAACAATTAAAGGTTGTACGGGGGTTCAAACCTTTCGATTGCCCTCTGCTCGGCTTAACATTACGCAAGGACAATGGTTGGCTGTCTATTTTGGTGTCAATGATCACGGCAACGTGCAACCGTGGGGTGGTATTTCCTACTATGTGGGGAACAGAGATGGTTTCGCTGTTGACAATCTCAGTTTTGATGACTGTATTGATAAAAACAATGGCCAATATTGTGCACTTTACAGATATACTTATGGCGTGGCGATCGCATTCACCGTTGTTTCACTACCACACCAATAAGTGAAGTATTTTAAAATAGTAAAAATTTAAAACTGAGACCAAGAATTAAAATTACAATTCGATATTTCGACCTATTGATACGGTCATTTTCAGGTTGTTCTTCGTACTGAATGTCACATAAGAATGAAAACAGTTTAACTGGCCATATATATCTAATGTTTTTCCATCTTTCTTCCATATAGGCACACACACTATTAGAGAAGACTGAGAATTCTATGCGTATGACGAAGAAAGAAGAAAGAAGGAGAACGAGATATCATATATGGAAATTTTTTGGTTAAGAGCAATTAAAGATAAGCCAATTACCATCTAATGCTGTTCCATCGACCATCTCAGATTTCTTCTAACATAGTGGACTTCTTTAAGGCAAACATTTTTCACGAATTTCGGCGAAAACCGCAGATCCTAAAGTTGTTGCATTGCTGAGATATTCAATTTTTTGCAAAGAGAACGAAAATGCACAAATTCCAGCATCTAAAGAAACTGTCAATGTAAACTACGTACAACTCCATAACAATACATTACTCACACTTAACAATTCTATCATAACTGCTACATAGTGTCTATTACAAATTCACACAACCACGAGGTCCAGACTTGCTTCCGTTCCTTTACAGTAGATGATCCCGTGAGAGCCCAAATCATCGATCAAGCGGATACTGGTTTTATGCGCTGATTACGAATATGAGCTCTAAATGAACAAAACTCAAATTTAACATCGTGAAGTTTCTTGATTTCAATCATCCTACCCATTAGTTTTTTAAATAATTTCAAAAAAGTATCCGATAGATAAAGAATTTAATTTCTTACTAAATGCACGAATGATTTTGTCAAAACAATATTAAAAAACGCATTTTAACCACTAAGCAGGTTTTTAATGATATTTGTCAAAATCAAAATCGTACTTTTTTTGGAATACATTTACGGAAAGCAAAGACCTTTTTCTTCGCTTAGTTTGATAGAGGGCACTCGACTACATAAGGTTCCGTGCAAATCAAATTTATAGAAGCATTTTTATAGTAACCTGGGATCAAATAGCGGATAGGAATTATAAGACCGAGGCACAAACCAGTGAACTGAAGAACTTACAGAAATAAACCGTTAGACTGCACACTCATTATGTTTTTAGATAGATTTGTAAACCCTACTAGTATTTGTGTGCAGGACTATCGCCGTGAATTGTATTATATGATAACCGCCAACATCTCAGCTTTAAAATTACGTCGAGCTTTTTTTTAATTTTGTATCGTTACTGCGAAAATCAATTTTTTCGACATCAGTGGGAAAATGTTGAAAATCCTCCCTTGTATTTCGCGATTTTGACCATCAAAAATGCATTTTTGAATGAAATCGATATCATATTCAGAATCAGCATAAAGAACTGGATCGAATAACCTAGATTTTATTATGAAAAAATATTTCTGTCAAAATTCGACCTGAGGGGGACCGTAGGCGAAATCCCAACAAAAAGGAGCTGTAGAGTCGAATAATAATAATTGTTTCAGATTGTGATGAAGAAATGAGGATAAAACTCCATATGAGTTTTAAAACTGGAGCATGGACGTTCATCATCTTTATTTTTACATTAAATGTGCAGTTTTGATATTTTGTACAAGTTTTTCTAATGAACATGCTTTTATTATGTTATAATAGCCATTTGGCTGATATACAGTTGTTGTACATGATAGACGTAGACCATTTGTACATAAAGCACATATACGATCTGGAACAGTGCAATCATTGTTCTTATGACATTTTTGTGGTTGATGCTGCTGGTGGCAGAATACATGAATCAAGAAGAACATATGATAATAAATACATCTTCTTGTTACGGTTAGTTTAAAAATTGTGGACAATTTTTTTGTAGATTTTATATGAAATCCTCATTTATTAACTATAAGTACATCTTTAAAATCGTTTGACATAACTCGCCGTGTATGTGACCTATAAAAACCAGAGGTGCAGAATCTTCCAAAAAATAAAAAATTTCCCCACCCACGAAAATTTTTTCCAGAAATTTCCCCAGGCTGTTGTATCTTCGTCGCTCAGTAGGAAACCAGAGGCGCAGAAAGAGAACGAAAAACGAGTAGTAACTAAAACAACGAATTTATATATGTGTACGTGTGTATACAGATGGACGTGCATATGAGAAGGGGGAAACACCAAAGAATCAAATGTGAATATTCTTAGCAAGATGAAGGATAGAGTATACAAGTAAAGCAACAAACTCAAAAGAATGATTTATATCCTATAGTTAATTATGAAGAGAACAAGATTTTCTCTTCTAACACTCTTTTTGCAAAATTTTCCCATTGTGACAATTTTCAAAAAATTCCCCAGCATAGTACTTTTCAAAAATTTCCCCACCCGCGCGGCTGCGCACCTCTAATAAAAACGTTCAATTCCATTATTTTAAATTGGTGTAAACAGAAGCTTGTAGAGAATTGAATTGCATGCATATCTTTTACAAAAAAATTGAAGATTTTGTTATTTTTCTGCACTAAGATATATACAAAATGAAAAATGTCGCAAACATTTTGAGACATACAGTATAACAGCAAAACGTTTTTTGTTCATCATTACAACCTCAGCAAACTGCACCTTACCATTTATTAATTCATGCATTTGTTTAAACAATCTGGATAATTCATGCTGTTCAGCTTCTGATTCGATGTAACTTGTAAGGTCCTTCTCATCAGGTATTTTCTCATCAATGTCGGTTAACAGACTCATGCTGTCTGACATTAAAGAATCATTATTAAAAAGACATTCACCTACAATTTGAGAAATAAACAAAAAGAGTTCATTGAAACTTTTAGGCATTTCTGCCGATTTTCATGGGGTTTCTCTGTGGAAGAGCAGTATAGTGCGCTAGAAGATACTATCATTCGTTTTCAGAATTACCGATTATACGATCGACAGCGTCAAAATATTTCAGGAAACGGGACTGGCCCCAGTAGCTCCCTGCTGCTGTTTTCTTTTTCTGTATTCCGGAACTAAGTTTGTTATTTTGTGTTTAACATCATCATCTGTTAAAATCCGTCCCGGAATCAAATCTGTTAAAGACTTTATCATATCCGAATATACTGGATTATTTCTTTTTGTTTTATCACACATTAAACGGCCATCGTATTCTCCCGATGTTGATATTAAGCACGATGTTTCTTCATCAGTCCAATTTTGAGCCCTATTTTTTTATCTAAACATATGGAAAGAAAACGACACTTAGAACATTTGGTAAAAAGCAAGCATGACGCAATCGCAAAATGGCAATGTCGTCTTAGGAAGAAGAAAAAAAGATATGTATTTTCCTATTTTTTGCACATTTTTTTCCCGAAGCTTTTCGGCTTAATTGTTCTGTCTGATATACTTTTTAATAAACTGAATTTCACTTAAACAACTCATTATTTTAGAAAGTATAAATTTAGCACAAAACTATTAGTCAGTTGTCGAACATTCTTTTTTCTCGATAGTTTTG